GCACATGGAGACCTCTAAAGGATGAGGCCAGGACACCTGATGGGCTGTGGAAGGGAAGGGCATGAGGCTGCAAAAATGCAGGACCTGGCTTATCACAGGCAGAGGAACTGCCTCTCTTATCAAGGGTATCACTGTTTCAAAGTGAGAAATGACAAACCTTGCTGGTCTCTGGGACACATTAGCATTTTGTTCTGCACAGGATTTTCACCACAGAGGTAAAAGAATTCTATTTCTGTTTTTCACAGACAATAAATGTTTGACTTAGAATCAACCAACAGTAACAAAATAAGAGGAAAGTCTAGTAAAAGATAACATAGGTTAAAGATATAATGTATCATTAAATAATCAATTTCAATGATTAAGAAAATATACAGAATGGAAATTAACAAAAGAATAAAATCAACCTAAAGAATCTATCTAAAGAATAAAATAAATAGGAGTTTCAGTACTGCAACTCCATTTTAAGACAATTCTGTATTTACCACGAGAAAGACAGACACTTTCTTACTCTGTCATTGTTTCCTGAATGATTTACCATAGGAAGTACAGGATTGTGGAATTCCAAATATATGTAAACCCTGGAGGAGCTTGTGTGTGTGGAGAGAGAGCATGCACATGGGTGCATGTACCTGGATAATAACTATCCATATTCTGATACTCTGACAGCACTGTTGGTGAACTGTTATCAACTGGAATGTGCCCTCCGCTGAAAGGGCAGGTATGATAAGGGCAGAGAATGGCTATTAGATTTAGTAAGGCAAAGGTCACTGATGACTTGGCAATAGTAGTTTCAGTGCAATACTGTGATTGAGAGGCTAACTGGAGTGGATTCAAAAGATGGGGAAATTTTGATGATGCACAAGATGAAAGAATTGCTGAAAAGATTTCCCCAAGCTGGGGTGGGGATATAGGGAACAAAAGGCTAGCCACAGAAGGCCATAGAGATGGTCCACTTTAGGAGGTAGGACAGTGGGATAGGTACAACTGATGATAGCTGGGAAGATAGAGTGGGAACCTGTGATTCTCTTCTGGTTGCTCCTATTTTATTCCTATCAACATAGCAATACCCTGTTCTGAAAACAAAAACAAAAACAAAAACAGAAACAAAAACAAAACAAAACTTTAAGCCAGAAGGCAAACCTCTCTTCTGAGGTCATGGAGTTGTAATGAACTTGTACATGGGAGGTGGGTGGGAAGAGCCTGACAGAGCTTCCCGAAGGTAAGAAAGGCTGGGATCAAGGCTGGGCAACAGCAATGGCACAATGCCATTATGCACAGTGCAGAATGCAAAAGCAACTGTTTCCACTTTGTTACCACACCAAGTATCACAATTACCATCTTTTATTAGACCTTGCATTCTGCAACCATGAAGACCTCCTCTAGCTACAGTGTTAAATCTGTCAAGCCAACCAACTTTAAGTATTGTACCTGAGGCCCAACTATGAGGAGCCTGTAAATCTATCTTAAAATGTTACAGGAGAACTGGTTCATGAATTTTAACTGCAACATCCTAAAGCCTGAGATATGTAATTAGAAGGAATTAAAGTTGTCAGGATATACGGTTTCTGGCCATCGATTCCCTTTAACTAGTAAAGTTGGACAGGTCATGGAATGCCTTTAGACCACTTGTCGGGAAGAGGAAACTGTCAAGCACCCCAACCCATTAAGAGGATTATAGAGGCCACTATACCTCCTCTGAGTTTGGATTTGGATTTGTGACTGTCAGTAAACTCTATATACACATCAGGGGTGGGGGGGATGCTTCAACCACTAAGCTTCTTTACCCATAAGCAGTTGTGGGTTTTTTTTTAGAGTTTATTTTAAAGAGAGAGAGCATGCGTGCATAAGTTGGGGAGGGGCAGAGGGAGAAGCAGACTCCCCTCTGAGCAGGGAGTCCAATTCAGGGGCTTGATCCTAGCATTCTGGGATCATGACCTGAGACGAAGGCAGACACTTAACCAGATGAGCCACCCAGGCCACCCCACCCCATAAGCAGCTTAATGCTTAATGTATTCTGGCATCTCAGGCAACTAAAAAAGGTTAACTCCAATTAATGCATTCATAATTTTAGCTAACTGGTAATCTAAATGACCAATATTGTTAGGCTGACCCTGCACATCAACAGAGCAACCAGAGTCATGTTTTTGTTTTTGTTTTTTTTTAAGATATTTATTTATTTATTTGACAGAGATCATAAGTAGGCAGAGAGGCAAGCAGAGAGAGGAAGAGAAGCAGGCTCCCTGCTGAGCAAAGAGCCCTATACAGGACTCAATCTCAGGACCCTGAGATCATGACCTGAGCTGAAGGCAGAGGCTTTAACCCATTGAGCCACCCAGGCACCCCAGAGTTGTGTTCTTGACGAATAAATAAAATTATCTTTATTTCCCACAATAGCAAAAAGAGGTTAACTGTAAAATTCTGCTGCTAAACATACAGAAATTGTAGTCTGTCATTGCAAAAGAAAAAAACTATTAACATAAAGAAAAGACAACTGATCTACTGCAGCAGCCTAACTGTTACTCATGTACCTCAGGAGTGGGCAAATTTTATCTATAAAGTGCCAGATAGTAAATATCTTGGGCTGTGCAGGCCATATGGTCTCATGTATAACTACTCAACCTTACTTGTAAGCAAAAGCGCAAGATGATAAATAACTGAATGAGTGTGGTTGTGTCCCAATAAAACTATTTATGGGAACACCTGAGTGGCTCAGCTGGTTAGCCCTCCAACTTGGTATCAGCTCAGGTCTTGATCTCACAGTCAGGAGTTCAAGCCCCTGCTTAGAGTTCCACGCTGGGTGTGGAGCCTACTTAAATTTAAATATATAAATATATAAATATAAATATATATGTACACATACACACACATATACACATACACACACACACACACTTATGGACACTAGTTTTATTTCATATAATTCTCACACATGTCACGAACTCATTCTTTGATTTCTTTCAATCACTTTTTTTCCTTGTTTAAAAAACTTATTTAGGGGTGCCTGGGTGGCTTAGGTAGTTAGGAATCTGCCTTTGGCTTGGGTCATGATCCTGGGATGGAGCCCAGTGTTGAGCCCCACATGGGCTTTCCATTCATCAGGGAGCCTGTTTCTCCCTTTCCCTCTGCCTATTTCCCCTGTTTCTGCTCTCTTTCTCTGTCAAATAAATAATCATTTTATAAAAAGTCTTTACTCAAATTCAATTTAGTTAACATAAAGTGCATTATTAGTTTTGGGTAGGGATTTAGTAATTGATCAATTAGACACAAAACCCAGAGCTCATTACATCAAGTGCACTACTTCATGCACATCATCCAATTACTCCTCCCCTCTCTCCCCTCCAGGGACTCTGTTTGTTCCCTAGAGTTAAGAGGCTTTTAACTCTTAAAAGTTAAAAAAGTTTTTAAAAAAAGTTTCCTCCCTGTTTTTATTTTTCCTTCCCTTCCCCTATATTCATGTTTTATTAAATTTCACATAAGTGAAATCATATGGTATATGGTATTTGTCTTTCTCTCACTTATTTCACTTGGCATGATAACCTCTAGATCCATCCACATCATTGCAAATGGCAAGATTTTATTCTTTTGATGGCTCAGTAATATTCCATTTTACATATATACCACACCTCTGTGACCCACTCATCTAGCTGTTGATGGACATCTGGGCTCTTTCCATAATTTGGCTATTATGGACATTGCTGCTATAAACACCTCTTCAAATCATTATGTTTGTATCCTCTGGATAAATACAAATACAAATATTTGGATAAATACAATTGCTGGGTCATAGGGTAGCTCTATTTTCAACTTTTTGAAGAACCTCCATATTGTCTTCTAAATTGGCTGCACTAGTTTGCATTCCCACCAATAGTGTAATGTTCCCTGACTTGTGAATTTGAGCCATTCTGACTGGTGTGAGGTGGTACCTCATTGTGGTTTTGATCTGTATTTCCCTGATTTCCTCCAATCAAAATGTGAACCACTCTTTGATCACAGATCCAACAAAATTTTGGTGGCAAATTTGGTCTGTAGCTAGAAAGTTTCTGGTCACTGGTGATGGCCACATATCTGAATTCCAGTAAAGTTACCCAATACCCAATTGTCCCTAACCAACAGAGGCAATTTAGAAGCTTAGAAATTAATTTCAACATCTTTGTCCCGCTGGCAGTGGAAAGCGGTTGCTGTTCTGGAGGCTGTTTGGGTCCTTCAGGCCCTCGCTGCACCTGAAAACCATCCATTTATGTGGTATTCCAAAACCCGAAAATTCAAGTCTTCAGGAAAAGTAATCTAAGTGGACAAAACATCAGCAAACCCTACAGAGCCCCCGGTCGTTCCAGGCACAGCCCTAACACAGGGGTCTTAAAGAATCCACTCCAGTCCTAACACAGCGACTGCACCTAGTAGGGTACACATTCGTACTTTTGCACCTCACTGGCATTCCTGCTACCGACCTGACTTCTCCCGTCACTGCAGAATCAGGACACGAGATACAGGCACTCGCCGCACCCCGACTTAGGGCAAGACAACGCCCGCCGACGCTTCTGAGTCGCGGGCCGCTGGACAGAAGACAATCCGCAGCCTGACCGGAAAAGCCAACGGATTCTCGGCCTCCTTCCCAAAGCGCCAAATGGCGCAAAAAACCTCCCCGGGGTCCTTAGGACATTCTCCTCACGGCAGGGGCAGGAGAGCAACACGAAAAGAGATAAGCAGAAAGCAGCTACGAAGGAAAACAGCGTACCGAATCACCCCCAAACTCAGACTGCTCAGATAACCACTCGCCCGCTGACGAGGTGTGACTATATCGCACCGGACGGACCGCTCGGAGTCTCCCGGCATCTCGCTGTTCTCAGACGCACTGATATGAGACATCTCGCGGGAGTTCCGTTGGCAGCACCGAAGGGTCAGGTGACCTCACGGCTCCGCCCCCGTTTTCCTGGCCCGCGGTCCCGCTTCACGCATGCGTGGGCGGTGCCGGCTGCGGCGAGTTGGTGTGGGGCGCGCGCGAGCGGGGGTGGCGGGATGGTGCTGAACCGGGTGCGGGCGGTTTTCTTCGATTTGGACAACACGCTCATCGACACTGCCGGGGCGAGTAGAAAAGGCATGTTGGAGGTAACGTCCCAACTTCCCGTCCTTCTTTGGGCAGGGTCAGCGCACCCAACCCATATCGCGCGCTTTCCTATCCTCTTGGTGTCCTCCCACCCCCGACCTTCCCACTGCTGAGTCCATCGACACCGCGTCTGGGGCTGGGTCATCCCGGAGGCACTGGCTTCTCGTCCTTTAAGACCCACCGCGTTCGGGAAGGAGCGGGAAAGAAGGACGAGTGGGCAGGGGGAACTGGTTGGGGAGGAGGCTGCTTTCCCTCGCGCCCGCGGCTTGGGTTACCTGCCTGGCTACGCCCAGATCTGGGAAGCTGGGGTCTGGAAGTTGTTTCCACCTGTGGGACCCGGAAAGACGTCGTTAAAACTGCCACGGTGGCAGAGTTGCCCACAAACATAGACGGTCACTTGGCTTTTTGCCAGGACAGGTTCCGACCTGCTAGGCGAGCGTGGCGCCAGGCTCTCCGCGGTTGGCCTCTCCACACTGCGTGATCTTGGGCAGATCTTTGAGGAGACCCAGGAAGTTACACAACTGTCAGTGGCGAGCCTGGGCTTCATTGACTCCAGAAAATGTCTCCGCAGAAATTCATCTCCAGTCTCTCTGCTGTGGGTGTGACCCTTAGACTTCTGAGGTTACATTCACAGTCCGTGCTTGCACAGACCACTCCTTTCATGAGGCATTATCCAGCAGCATCCTCTCCTTTCCGTACCCACAAATGCTGAATCAGACTTCTTGAAGCCCCACATCCACCCCTGCTTTCTTCTACCTGCAGGTCTAAGAAGAAAACCAAAGATTATCAGATGTGAAAACCCACTTTCAAAAGCTAATCCTTCCAAACCTGAGAGTCCCAACCTCTTCATGCTTCATTAGTTAGGTATTGACTCTCTGGTTTTTTTTTTTTTTTTTAAGCCCGGAAGGTGGGGCTAGACTGGGCGACCTCAAGACCATGAGATCAAGACCGGACCCCAGAGTCTTGGCTTACTGACTGGGCTGCGTAGGTGCCCCAGGTTTTGACTCCCTCATCTTCATCCTCTTTCTTGGTGCATTCCATTCCTGCATATTCAGGTTCGTCCCATACTTCAAAAAATAAAAAAAGAAGCCTTTCTTGAACCCTTCTTCCTTCACTAGATGTTATCTGTCTCCCTTGAGGGCTTTGGGGTTTTTTTGTTGTTGTTAATTTATATTGAAGTTAGTTACCATATAGTGTATTATTGGTTTCAGGGAATCCTCAGTTGCATGTAATACCCACAGCTCATTACATCAGGTGCCCTCCTTCATGCCCATCACCCATGACACCATCCCCCACCCGCCTTTCCTCCAGCCACCTCAAGATTGTTCCAAGAGTTAAGAGGCTCTTACGATTGCCTCCCTCTCGGTTTTTATCTTATTTTTCCTTTCCTTCCCCTATGTTCATCTGTTTTGTTTCTTAAATTCCATGCATGCGTGAAATCATGTGGTATTTGTCTTTCTCTGCCTTATTTCACTTAGCATAATACCCTCTAGTTCCATCCATGTTGTTGCAAATGTCAAGATTTCATTCTTTTTGTATATATGTGTGTGTATACACACACACACACACACACACACATATACATACCAGGTCTTTATCCATTTATCCGTCGATGGACATCTGGGCTCTTTCCATAGTTTGCCTTTTATGGACATTGCTGCTATAAACATTGGGGTGCAGGTGCAATCATTATGTTTGTATCCTTTGGATAAATACCTAGGTACAATTGCTGGGTCATAGAGTAGCTCCATTTTCAACTTTTTGAGGAACCTCTATACTGTTTTCCAAGGAGGCTATACCAGCTTGCATTCCTACCAACAGTGTAAGAGGGTTCCTCTTTCTCCGCATCATCACCAAGATCTGTCCTTTCCTGACTTGTTCATTTTAGCCATTCTGACTGGTGTGAAGTGGTACTTCATTGTGGTTTTGATTTGTATCTCCCTGATCTCGAGTGATGTTGAGCATTTTTTCATGCATCTGTTGGCCATTTTTTTTTTTTTTTGAGAAAAGTCTGTTCATGTCTTCTGCCCATTTCTTGGCTGAATTATTTGGTTTTTGGGTGTTGAGTTTGTTAAGTTCTTTATAGATTTTGGATAGTAGCCCTTTATCTGATATTTATTTGCAAATATTTTTTCCCATTCTGTTGGTTGTCTTTTGGTTTTGTCGACTGTTTACTTTGCTCTGCAAAAACTTTTTATCTTGGGGTGCCTGGGTGGCTCAGTTGGTTAAACATCTGCCTTCAGTCATGGTCAGGTCATGATCCCAGGGTCCTGGGATCAAGCCCTGGATTGGGCTCCCTGCCCAGCAGAGAGCCTCTTCTCCTTCTCCCTCTGCTGCTCCCCCTGCTTGTGCTCTGTGTCTCTCTGTCAAATAAATAAAATTTTTAAAAAAGGTTTTTCCGGGGCGCCTGGGTGGCTCAGTGGGTTAAGCCTCTGCCTTCGGCTCAGGTCATGATCCCAGAGTCCTGGGATCGAGCCCCGCATCGGGCTCTCTGCTCAGCTGGGAGCCTGCTTCCTCCTCTCTCTCTGCCTGCCTTTCTGCCTACTTGTGATCTCTGTCTGTCAAATAAATAAATTAAATCTTTAAAAAAAAAAAATAAAAAATAAAAAAAAATAAAAAAGGTTTTTCCTTGTCTGAGGAAAGCATCAGCATCCTAGAGACTGATTGGAAAGCAGGAGCTTTGAGTCAGTGCACTAAGTTTTACCTCTAGATTTCCAGCCTACCTGCAGGTCCTGGGCCAGAGTCGCAGCCTCCAGCCCAGCTCTCTCTGCTGCAGAGTGGCTGCCCCCACAGCCCACATTCTTCTATCATGCCCATTTCTCCTGCCTAAAGGGGTTTTGTGCAATTCAATAGTTTTTCCATAAGCTGACCTTGTATTAGTAGAGCCTTTAGGAGATTCTCGTTAGACACCAAAGTTCTGAACAGCTTTTTTCCCTCAATTCTAACCCAAAGATTTATGTACCTTAATAATTTAATCAAATTTGTGGATGGCTTCTCCCCATTTCCTATTCAGTATTCTTAGTCCTAGGTTAGCTTTACATCTCAGACTGATGTACATCAGTCCAATAAAATATGAAATAACCATACTGAAAAAAAAAATGAAAAACTTACCTTGATGAAGTCCCAATAGTTTATTTTTGCTTTTGTTTCCCTTGCGTCTGTGGATGTGTCTAGCAAGAAGTCAAAGAGGCTGAGGTCAAAGAGGTTGCTGCCTGTGTTCTCTAGTCTTTTGATGGATTCCTGTCACACATTTAGGTCTTTAGTCTATTTTGAATTTATTTTTGTATGTGGTGTAAGAAAGTGGTCCAGTTTCATTCTGCATGTGGCTGTCCAATTTTCCCAACACCATTTGTTGAAGAGACCGTCTTTTTTCCATTGGATATTCTTCCCTGCTTTGTGGAAGATTAATTGACCATAGAGTTGAGGATCTGTTTCTGGATCCTCTGTTCTGTTCCATTTATCTGTGTGTCTGATTTTGTGTTGACAGCAATGTTTTTTGAAAGAAATCTATATACATTATTTCCATGTCTCCACCTTTATTTATTCCTTAATCCCTTGACATATAGCCTCTCTCCTTGCTACTTAATGAAATGGGCTTGCCCGGTCATTACACACTTCTCAAATTGCCAAAATCAATGGACATTTTAAGTCTGTATTAATGGCTTTGCTGAGGCATTCCATAATATTGACTGTCCCTTCTATTTGCATACCCTTGACCTTGACCTCATGGGCACCACCCTGTACTGTATTGCCTCCAGTTTCTTCAGCTGCCTTGTGTGTTCTTGGCAGTCTAAGCCCAATATGTTGCAAATAAATCCTTGGTTTAGGCCAAATCATGCTATAGCCTAGAGTTCATGTGTTAAAGTCAGGCATTTGAGTTTGAATCACAGCTATCCAATACCTAGCTGAAAATACCTGAACAAGTTCCCTAACCACTCTAAATCTTAAATCCTTATTTAAAAATGTGAATGGTGATATTAGTCCTCAGTGTCCTTATCAGGTTTAATTGAATGCATGGTAAGTCTGTAGCATCCAAGTGTACACTTGTTAAGTTGTACCATCTACTGTGTCCACCCAGTCTGTCCCCTCCTGCATATCCACCCCCCACTGCCCTTATCTTGCTTAAAGGTGGACTTGTCTGTCACCTAGCTATTGCTGTGGTGTTGTCTCCAAGCTTACTGTGTCCAGTTTATCCTCCACATTCCTACCAGAGTGAATTTTCTGAAAAAAAATAAGATTTTATTTCTCCCTAGTGTGTATACCAAACTCCCTTATACCAACACTGTATTTTTTTTATTTAAAAAAAAAAATTTTTTTTTTTTTAAAGATTTTATTTATTTTTCAGCGACAGAGGGAGAGCGAGCGAGCACAGGCAGACAGAGGCAGAGGGAGAAGCAGGCTCCCCGCCGAGCAAGGAGCCCGATGTGGGACTCGATCCCAGGACGCTGGGATCATGACCTGAGCCGAAGGCAGCCGCTTAACCAACTGAGCCACCCAGGCGTCCCCCAACACTGTATTTTGTTCAAGATATCTTATAATGTACTTATCAAAGGAAATTACAATTAGTTTTTGCAACTCAGATGCCTGCAACTTAATAGCTTCTTAAAACAAACTGTCTTGGTCATATTCATTTGATACATGGTAAATATTTAATGAATAATGAATGGATGGGTGGATAAAATTACAGGTCTACAGACTTGATTCTGTTGTCACATCCTTTACAAACATCCTATTAAACAAACAGAATTGAGTTGTGTGCTTTTGACTATACAAGGAGTGCCTTTTTTTTTTTTAAGATTTTATTTGACAGAGAGATCACAAGTAGACAAGAGAGGCAGGCAGAGAGAGAGGGTGAAGCAGGCTCCCTGCTGAGCAGAGAGCCTGATGTGGGGCTCCATCCCAGGACCCTGAGATCCTGACCTGAGCTGAAGGCAGAGGCTTAGCCCACTGAGCCACCCAGGTGCTCCTATACAAGGAGTGCTTTACCACATTAGAATACAGCACCATCTGAGGCACCTGGGTGGCTCAGTCAGTTAAGTGTCTGCCTTCAGCTCAGGTCATGATCTCGGGGTCCTAGGTCTGAGCCTTGCATCAGCCGCCCTGCTTCAGCAAGGAGCCTGCTTCTCCCTCTGCACCTCCCCCTGCTCATGTTCTCTCTCTTTCTCTCTCAAATAAACTATTAAAATCTAAAAGAAAAAAAAAAAAAAGAATACAACACAGTCCATAACTGTTAGCCAATTCAAAAGTAACATACCAAAGGGAGGAAAGATCTAGTCATTGCCTTGTGCTTGGGGAGAAGGAGCCATATACTAACTCTATATATCTGTTTCATTTTTTTTCATCTTCTGGAAAAGTTATTTCTGTCTACCCTCTTCAGGCCTTTCTTTCAGAGTCACTACGTAAGAGGAAGCTGTCCACAGAAATTTGGGGTTTCTCAGTGAACAGAGCAGAAAAGATATCTGCATTTGTGAGTTTACTTTCTAGTGTTGGTTGACCATGAACATAATACATCAAATGTATATTTATTTATGTTTGGAAAAGTGGAGAGGAGAATGAATTGCAGTTTTAAAAAGGTTGATCAGGAAGTCACATAGAGTAAATGATGTTTGAAGAAAGACTTGGACTAAAAATAACATAAGAGCTGCTTGAATTGTTAGGCTGTATGTAGGCAGTCATATTCTGTGAGAATGTATTTTTTTAAGCTTTTATTTTTCATTTATTTTAGAGAGAGTGAGTGCAAGTGCAGGAAGGGGCAGAGGGAAAGAGAGAATCACAGACCCCACACTGAGCATGGAGCCTGACATGAGGCTCTGTCCCAGGACCCCAAGATCACAACCTGAGCTGAAATCAGAAGTCAAGATGCCCACCAACTGAGCCATCCAGGTGCCCCCATGAACACGTATTTTTAACTCAGTTTTATTTGGAATTCAGCTACTTCATATCATATCATAGTGTTATAATATTACATAGTTCCCACACCAGCCCTGAAAGAGTATTTAAATCACAATTAGCTAAAAACCAGTACTGATGATAGTAACTTTAATTCTGGGTCCAGACAGCAGGTTAGAAGGATACAGTTTCCTTTCTGTATGGGTTAAGATGAGACTTAAATAGAGTTTTGAAGTAGAAACTTGAGTTTATCTTATCTACAAATTGATTTCCCTCTCCCCCCTTCACTGTCCTAGGGCCCTTTTCTTTAGGCCCTTAGGTACCTCGTGGGCTTAATTGTGCTCAGAATCCTTTTCAAGCCTGCCTTACCCCTTGCACAAAATATCTTCAGACCACCAAGTTAGAGATCATTTTCCCCCACCCCCAATTCTACGAAAATTCCCGTTTTCTCAGTACAGGGTTTAGGATTGTTTATACTAGTAATAATATGAACTAATTTAAGTTAGGTGTTTTTTGTTTTTACTGAAGTATAGCTGATACACAATGTTACATTAGTTTCAGGTGTACAACAGTGATTCGGTAGGTGTTATTTCTGTTTTAATAATATGTAAATGGCTGATAAGCTTTTTCCCCAAATATGTTAATATTAAAATGCTACTTGGGGGCGCCTGAGTGACCCAGTTGTTAAGCGTCTGCCTTCAGCTCAGATCATGATCCCAGGGTCCTGGGATCGAGCCCCATATTGGGCTCCCTGCTCAGCTGGGAGCCTGTTTGTCCTTCTCCCTCTACTGTTCCCCCTGCTTGTGTGCTTGCTTTCTCTCTGTCAAATAAATAAAATCTTTCTTTAAAAATGCTGCTTGTGATCCCAAATGAATCTATAATTAGTTGCTGTGTGAAAAAATGAGAAAGTTAATTCAGAGGATATAATGAGAAGGAATTTCAAAACTTGAAAGTGGTATGCTTTACCTTTATAAGACTCTCTTTTTAAGGTGAGCTAATTCTGTTTTTTTCAGAGCCCTAAGAACATGCGAAATGAATTGCCAGTTGTAGTAACAGAAAATTGGACATTTATTGAGAGCTCTTTGCTTGCTAACTATGAGCCAGCTCCTATTTAAGCTTAAGCACTGTGGATTTCTAGAGGCCTGTGTTCTTCCGTTGTGTAGCAGTAGGTTTGCTAAAACTTTAGGGTGACCTTCCATCATAGCTCAAGAGTAATTCAACTGACATTGTTAGAAAAGATGATGACATTAGCACAGAGGCTGTAAAAGCTCAGTTTGTTAATTTAACTTTGCCTCCCCCTAAAATTTTTAGGAATGACATCTTTTTCTTGAAGTAATAAGACTTTTCTTAACTATTGCATTTTTTTTGAAGAGCACAAATAGCCTGAACAACATTTACTTTTGATGTGATTATTATACTTTGAAGGAAGAAAAATGTGTCTGTTAATTTCTTTCCCCTTTTCAGTAGGTGAATTGAGCATCTGTTGTGAGTAGCATACTACTTGTTCCCTGTATAGTTTAGGGCAACATTTTTTAACTTATTTGACCTCTTTGCTCCAACAGAAGACAGTTTTTAGTCTCAACTGTGTACATTACACTCATCATCCAAAGATCCAAATTTGTCTTGGTATTCAACTTTCCCCAGATGTCCCTAAGGTAGGGACTTAAAATGCAGGTAGTCCATTTGGGAGGTGGTCCTTGCAAGTGCTGTAAAAGAATGGTGGGATCATACAAGGAAGAGAGGGAGTCTAATAAATGAGTAGGTTACTAGTGTGAACAGTTGGGGAACTCTGGGAGACAGCATGCAGAGCATGCTTCAGTTGTCCCTCCCAAGGGAAAAGAAAGCTGGGATATTAATCTGCCAATTTCTGCCACTCATTAGTTGAGGCCTCCTTCCAGGGTAAAACTTCAGCCCCAGCTTGTGTGCATGGGCGCTCCTGTGGTCAAATAAAACCCTTAGTTACTTACAGTATGAAGCCCAATTGGCATTACAGTATTATGGTATAAAGCCATTAACATGTATGGGAACAGTATGTGCCAAGGGGACTTGGGTAGCATCTATAGAAGGCTTGGATTGAAGATCTTTTACTAACCAGTTACAAACAGACTCTCCAGCCTGATCTTTTACAAACAGACTCTCCAGCCTGATCCCCCCTCACATGCCTTACATTTCAGTCTGAAATCGGCTTCTCACCTTTCCCGGTTCTCAAAATTCCAAGCTCTGTATCTTTGTTCTTGCTATTCCTTCTGTCGAGAATGATTTCATTCTCTTCCCATGCCTACCTTACAGACTTGGTAACACCTTAGTTTAAATGTTACTTTGGCTATGAAGTCGTATCCAATAACCCTTGTGGAGTGACCTGTTCTTACATTTTATTTCCACTATTGTTTACATGACTGTTAGAGCACTCAACCCAGCATTTATAGTGGTTGCATACCTGTTTATTTACCCCAGCAGATAATGTCATGAGGGCAACGGACCCAGTCTCCACTGCCTAATAAGCACATGTGCTTTGGAAGTAGGCAAGTGTGGATTTAAATCCCAGTTTAGGCAAATTATTTAACAGTTCTGAATTTCCATTCCTTATCTCAAAAAGGGGAGTCCCTTGCAGAGTTGTAGAGAAGTTAGAAATAATATATGTGAGCATTAGGCACTATGCTTGCCACATTAGGGTCTCAGTAAATATTAAGAGAGGCCAAATGGAAAAGAAGATAATAAAAGCCAAGATAAAAAGTTGGGGAACACGAGAGGGAACGTGTAATTCTAATGACAGAGACAGAACCAGTGTAACAGAGGGTGACTCAGAACTCTTTGAAGGTTTTTATCTGGAAAACTAGGTTTGGAAGAAGAACTGCGTCATTAAATTGCTGAAATCACAGCAGGTTCTTCATTCTCTTAGAATTGAATATATGTTTTTAAAAAAGTGCCCTATTAGGTCCCATTTTATATGGTGGTCAGTTTAGGCCTTCAAAACATAAAATGGATGTAGGTAAAGGATTGGATGAACCAATGTTATTTCTGGGAAGAGTCTATATAATGGTTGTGGTGAAATTAAAATGTTTTACTAAATTTAAACCTAAGTTCTATTTCCATTTCTTCATAACCAGGATGGAAGGTGGCAGACTGCCAAATAAAGGGTTTTTATGACCTATAGCTGAAGATACTTAGAATAGAAATCGGTCAAAAAATATGAATGGGTTGTGTGGAGAAATTGGGAGATCTTCCCTCTGATATTCTTTGAAAATGAGACCAATTCCCACCAGAAATGGTGTAATGGTAGAGCTGCCTTAAGGCAGGCACGTGGAGTTGGAATTTCTACCCAGGGATTATAGGTACATGGTTTCTCAGGGTATGACTATAAAAGACCTGAAATGTGTTAATGGAGTTGTTTTTCTTTATTTAGGTGATAAAGCTCTTACAATCAAAATACCATTACAAAGAAGAGGCTGAAACCATTTGTGACAAGGTTCAAGTTAAACTCAGCAAGGAGTGTTTTCATCCTTCCAGTACATGCATTACTGACCTAAGGACTTTACACTGGGAAGAAGCAATCCAGGAAACGAAGGGTGGTGCGGCCAATAGGAAATTGGCTGAAGAATGTTATTTCCTGTGGAAATCTACACGTTTACAGCATATGATACTAGCAGAAGATGTCAAAGCCATGCTTACTGAACTTCGGAAGGAGGTCCGCCTACTTTTATTAACAAATGGAGACCGACAGACCCAGAGGGAGAAGATCAAGGCTTGCGCCTGCCAGTCCTATTTTGACGCTATCGTTGTAGGTGGAGAGCAGAAAGAAGAGAAACCAGCACCTTCCATATTTTATTACTGCTGTGATCTCCTCGGAGTACAGCCTGGGGACTGTGTGATGGTTGGTGACACACTAGAAACCGATATACAAGGAGGCCTTAATGCAGGGCTGAAAGCAACAGTCTGGATAAATAAAAATGGAATAATGCCACTGAAGTCATCCCCCATGCCACATTATATAGTTTCTTCTGTGCTGGAGTTACCTGCTCTCTTACAAAGTATAGATTGTACAGTCAGTATGTCAACTTAAAGCACATAAAAGGGCATGATGTATTTTAGGGTCAAATTATAGGTTTTGAACTAAGAAAAGCTAAGGCATTCCATTTAAGACCCATTTCTAAGAATATTTTTACTTATGACTTAATAACCAACCACTGACTGGTATTCATATCTAGAAGTCCAGAATACATTAGTTAATACAAGTTAACTTTTAATAGTGTAATCCAGAAAACTTAAGGAAATATATTATTTGTTAATCTGTGCTTGAGGTTTTTAAAAAATTATTTCATTAATCTTGTGGCATCTTGGAGCCATGAAGATACTAAGCAAGATAGCTTGTATTTGTATGCACAAATACAGGTTTTTGTGTTGTCTTAAAAATAGATATTTTTTTTAAATAGATAATCTAAAACATATATAATACAGATTTATCAGAATTAGATCTGATTAATAGGAAATAAGTGCTAAGTCACATGCCAATCAAGGCATTCCATAATAAAATTATTTTGCATATTTTCTTTTTTAAAATATATATACCATATTTTTGCCTACTTTGAATATATACATTCTTCTATGAATCCAGTTTTTCTTCATGACCTTTTTGGGGGGGCAGTGAGTAATTTTCCTATGGTATATACATGACAAAGAGATTTTTCCACTAAAAAAGCTGTTAAAGTCAGCATGTGGTGCTCCTTTTCCATGACATTTTCACATAGTGAAAATGCACATAGTGAAAAGTGCACAAGAGTGCACTTGTAGGTTCTTACTAGTCTTTCCCTCTTACAGAAGTATTTTTATAATCTTTTCCCACATACACATTATGGTTCAGGGGACTAGACTCTCTGGCTGGGCATAAGTATAAGCCACATGGCAACAAAAGTCATTTTCCTTCTGTGGATACCTCAGAGGTGCAACCTAACCATGTAGCACTCCCATAAATTCTGTCTTAACTGAATAGTTTCACCCATACAATGAAAGCTAATAAAAAATTATGTTTTGCTATGAATAATTTCAGGGTGCCATTCTAATACAATTTAAATGGCTCTTGGTGTTAACCATCTGCCTTACATCCGCTGTTTTTCAAATTTTAGGAAGGATATCCTCTCACAATTTCTATATCCAACTCAGTGTTCACTTTGAGCTTATTAATTAATGACTAAGGCATCTTGCAACTAGAAAACCTTTTCTAGGCTGTGAAGCTAGACAGTGTCGTGTCTTCACCAACTTGGAATAAAATGGCTAATTAAGGAAAAAAGAAAATATGATTTGGGTTGGTTTTTGGCAGGTTTTTTTTTTTAAACTTTTGTATAAGAAGGTACCAATGTAAAATATTAGACTGTTAGAATATGTATAGCTATGACTCCTTTAAATATCCTATGATTATGATACTTAGATTCTGGAGTATGGCTATCCTTAACTTACTTCTTTAACTCCTGCCTATTGCCAAGAACAGGATTCTCTGCTTTTGTGCAATTGTCCTGTTGTATTTACTTTTCACTCTTAATTTTTAAAACTGTGACTGTACCGTTGACAGTCCCAGGGTGTTGTTGCTATGAAGCTAAACATTCGTGAACAGGGTATGTTTGTGTATAGTTCCAGGCATGGTGCTCATGTGACCTTGATTATATTTTAGCTATTTAAAAATTATTAAATTGGAAGATCTAGGCAGAAAAGTAATTACATGTGTGGTTTCTCTAATAGATTGGTGTGTGATGCTGAGTGTTTGTCCTTTTAGCTATCCCACAGGGTGGATGTAGGCAGTGTCACATTGACTCTCCTAACTGGAGAAGGTTCATTGCTTCTAGGACATAGTGACAAATCTCTGCAAGATAGTTCCTAGAATGTCAAAGGAGCTGTTCTTCAGCCAAAGTTGGGGGGGGGGGGTGTATAAATTGTTTCCTTCTCCTCCTGGTTTACATTCAGTACATGCATTAATGCAATATTGCATTCCATTTGCACCCTTCCTTGGAGAAAAACTTAGTGGTTTTCTACCTTCCAAGTGGAATGTTACAGAAGATAGTAAAAAATCTTGAAATAGACCTATATTTTATTAGTAATGTTTTTAGAATATAATCCTCAAGATTAAAAAAATGATGTAATGAGAGTATCTTATCATCTTAATTTTTTTCAGCTTTCCATAGTGGTGTGCTCTACAAAGCCCTAAATTCTCAATTGTCCAGGGGCTCTCCTAAGCACCAGCTATAGAGGAAGGCCTAGAGTAGACACATAGGAACATTGCACCTGGAATACTAACACAAAGGTGAATGTGTTCTTATTCCATATACACACTTAAGCCATTGGTGCACAAACATGTTAGCTCTGATAGTGACCAGGACCCAGTGGATGTTCAGTAAGTATTATAGGAAAGGGTTTTTATAGTTAAAAAGGTACTTGGTTTAGCACTTTCAGGCTTCTTTGTAACCTACAATAAGAAACAGTTTCCATCACCACCAGTGAAACACATATATTAATAGTGAATACTGGGGGCACCTCGGCTCAGTTAAGTGTTTGCCTTTGGCTCAGGTCATGATCCCAGGATCCTGGGATGGAGTCCTACATTGGGCTCCCTGCTTAGTGGGGAGTCTGCTTCTGCCACTGCCTCTCCCCCTCCTCGTGCATGAATGCACTCTCTCTCTCTCTCTCTCTCAAATAAATCTACTTATAGTGAAAATATTAGTTACTATATATTAAATACAGTTTTATATACTTAAAACTGAGGCAAGTTTTTTAAAACTGCTTGCCATACATGATCAGTTTTTTTCACTCCATATTTTTAAATTAGGGAATATATTCACCTTTGGACAATTACCATTTGTGGTACACAAGTCAAAAGAATGGAAAGGTGAACTGCAAAGTCTCATCTCTTTCCCAGAGGTCCACCACTCATATAGTTCACTGCTGTGAGCAACTTCCTGTGTATCTGCCTATGTAGGTACATAGGACTATACAGAATTTCTCTAATTTAGGCAGGTTTTTTATTTCCGCTTTTCAGTTTTAGGGGGGAAAAAAATGCATAGTGATTGAAAAAGAAAGTCCTAAAACTTCTGTTTAAGTCTTTCATGTTTGGAACATACACCTTTATGGTCTACCATCCACTGTCAGTCTTATTAACATCATCAATAGAAGTGATGGTTCCATTGTCACTCACTTTGAGGGGGGAAAGTCAGCACAGCTATGGAGCCCTTGCCCTGCTCCACTCTGATGAGTTTCCTTCAACTTGCTGCATATTGCCATCCTCCTGACTCCCTTTGCCTCTTACATTCGATTTCCTGGTTTTGTCCTGCATGTTTCTAGGTTTCATTTGTTCCCTCTTTTTGGTGACATGCCTCCTTGAGTAGGTTTTTTAAATGTGTGAGAGGTCCAGTGTTTAAGATCATAAGTGTCTGAAAATGCCTTTACTCTTCTCCCATAATTGATAGTTAACAGCATGCATTTGGATATCATTTTCATTTGGAATTTCAAAAGCATTGCTCTGTGGTCTTCTAGTAGCCGTACTTATGTGACCAGTTTTTTTGTTTGTTTGTTTTTATGGACCTCCTCTATGGACCTTCTGCTTTGTTTAAATCTTTTCTTTCCTATTTTTCTGTCTGTTATTTTGTTCCACTTCGGGGACTTCTTCAACTACATCTTGTAGTCCTATTGGTTTTTTCCCCAGCTAATCGTATTTTTTTTAATTTCCAAGAACTTTGTTTTGTTTTCTAAATGTTCCTTTTTAATAACATTGTTTTTGTTTTGAGTGGAATATTGTCTCTTAGAAAATTGTTAAGTTTTTTTTTTATATTTTATTTATTTATTTGACACAGAGAGAGAGAGAGATCACAAGTAGGCAGAGCAGCAGGCAGAGAGAGCGGGGGAAGCAGGCTCCCTGCGGAGCAGAGAGCCCGATGTGGGGCTCGATCCCAGGACCCCGAGACCATGACCTGAGCCGAAGGCAGCGGCTTAACCCACTGAGCCACCCAGGCACCCCAAAATTGTTAAGTTTTTAAAGAATCCACAGAATCCACTATTTCTTCCAAGTTGCTCTAATCCATTTATTTGAATCTATTGGTTCACATTAAAGGCTTTCCTCACATTCCCAGAAATTCTTGGTATTCATGAATAAGGGAGGAGAGATGAAGATGCTGACTGGAATCTCTGTCAAGTGGGGGGCTTGTCAACTTGGAGGCTCCTTTACTGTAGGGTATCTGGGTAGGCTGTTCATTGGAGAAGCCCCGAGATCATGGTTTTAAGCTCTTTGCTTTCGGTTGGTCTGATTTCCTAGAGCATTTCTCAGTCTCCTAACTGATGGTTAGAGGTCTGATGTCAGCACCTAGAAACTGAGTGGGAAAGAGGTGGGGAAGGAGGTATTTCTATGGTCACTTAATATCTGTTTCTGGTTGTAACTGAGCCCAATTACATGTGATATCTCCCAGTTTAGATATCCTCTGTTTTACTCTCCAGAGTAGCATCCCAACTTCTGTCGAGTTAGGACTTCATGGTGGGGTGGGGGCAGGGATTGTATTTTGAACACCTTTCACCCATCCTCCCTTAATTCAACTCCCCATCACCCTTTTCCTTCAGGCCTGAGGTATCTGGTAGTGTTGGTGCCTAAATTTTTGGAGGAATCTACTATGTACCTCATGGTTTCTCAGCTCTTCCCACTGTTGGTTCTGACTCAGCTTTCCTTGGTCTACTAAATTATTTGCCACTTGTCCACATGTTTCCAGCTTTCAAAATTTTGTTGATGCCTGTTTTTCAAGGGGGTAGGGAGTATGTATGTTCAGATTCCTTTACTATGATTTAGTTGAGTTTGGGGTAGAAACAATATTAAATGTGTATTTCCTTGTATAGTGATACAGAAGATGTTTTCTATTTCATGTTTAATGTAGGTCAAGACCACAAAACCAGTCCTGTGCCCCATAGTCATGACCCACAGCTTAAGAAATGCTGTCCATTTGAGGTAGAGATTCACAGTATGCCTACAACCTTTTTCCTTTTTATTTATTTTGTTTTGAATTATCTTTGTAGCTTATTTCTTAAAATCTCATCCCCAACTCCCTTTTTCTCTATACTCTTGTATATGACCTCCTTTGGCTTGTCTCATGATGGCAGGTCTCATTCTTCTGTGTTCCTGAATCTTCAACATTGCTTGAACATAGATACTTGTTTTGGTTGATAACTCCATTCCTATGATCACTTCTAAACTATAGTCTCTTAGATTTCTTTGTAATTAAAATCCTTCTGAATGGGGGTACATTTGATTTATGCTTTTAAAAAATTAACATATTCCTACCAGTAGTACTAAAATTTAGCCAGAATAAAACCATATATTTAATCAATCTTCAAATATATAACATATATGACAATATAGTTATTTCTACTGGATTTCTTGGAAGATTTTTTTTTTTTTTGGAGTGTCAATCTGACCTTTTACGATGGATAAGATGATAAAATGGCTTAAAGAAATTGTTCATGATTTTACCGAAATGGGAAAAAGAGTGACTGCTTAATGGGTACAGAGTCTCCTTATGGAATGACAAAGATATTCAGGAACTAGATAGTGGTGGTAGTTTTATTGTGAATGTACTAAATACCCCTAAATTGTATAATTGTAAGTGATTTAAAAGTTAAATTTTATTATCATCTATTTGTTCGTATATATCACCCATATTCCACATGCTGAGTTCCTAATAGGTATATTTAATCCTTTTGCCTCTCTCCCAAGCAAAATGTGTCCTTAAAAATTTAACAAATAACAGTGGGATACACTTTGAAAGCCACATGCACAGTGCTCTACTTGGGTGTCCAGCAGATGTTGATAAAAAAGGGACAGTTCTCCACTGAAAACAGTGCTTTTATTATATTTAACTGCTTGGAATGAGCAAACTTTATGGGAATTTGGTGGGTTGACTCCTTGCTCTAAGAATGATAACATGGAGCCAAAGAAAGAGCCATGGGTACACACTGCATGCTGAGGCTAGTGAAATAACTTGTGCAAGTTCCTGCCATGTGAGAGCCTAGCCACACTCACTCCCACTCTTTCCAGGGCTAGCAAATTCTATGCTTGCCCCCACACGTTAACTCCCCAGTGAAGTGTTAGATATTGTGGCAGGTTTATTTTTTTGAACAAGATTAGTTTAGAAAGAACATGTGAGGGGGGGGTACAGAGGGAGAGAATCTCAAGCAGACTGCTGAGTGGGGAGCCACTCAGCATGGGATCAACATGGGCTTGATCCCAGGACCCTGAGATCATGACCTGAGCCAAAACCCAAGAGCCAGATGCTTTTAACCCCCTGAGCTACCCAAGTGCTCTGATATTATAGAAGGTTAAAGAAATGCCAGAATCACAATTGGAGCACCAACAGATATGAAAACTAAGAAACTTAATGGGAAATATGTGTGTAACCAGTACGCCAAACAAGATGACACCAAAATGTAATCAAAATGAAACTTTTTTTTTTTTTAAGATTTTATTTATTTATTTATTTATTTGACAGAGAGAGATCACAAGCAGGCAGAGAGGCAGGCAGAGAGAGGAGGAAGCAGGCTCACCGCTGAGCAGAGAGCCCGATGCGGGGCTCGATCCCAGGACCCTGAGATCATGGCCCGAGCCGAAGGCAGCGGCTTAACCCACTGAGCCACCCAGGCGCCCCAAAATGAAACTTTTCTGTCACCTATATTATTCCTTTAATATTGACCCATGTGGGAGAAGCTTTCTCCT